AAATTCATATCAAGAGAACAAACCTAATTCATATGGAATAACATTGCGATATTCTATAATGAAACATGTTCAAATATAACAATGAAAATTTGCTCAGCTCGAAATTCATATATCTAGAATTCAAACATAAATTTTCAGATGCGTTACCAGGAGTTCATAAATGGTGTACAACTATTAGGTTCATCTCTATGAAATTAACTTTTTGTTATTGTAGAAATATTTTTATAACTACTAGCTGCCCCGGCAAAAGTTGTTTTACCATATAAATTAAGGGTGGGGGAGGGTGAAAATTTAGGGTTGTATGTATATTTAAAGCCACATAAAAAAATAAAATTTATAAAAAATTCGAAAAAATTGAGCCACCCTTAACCCTTAAGGGTATAAAAATTAGTTCTAAACCTATTCTCAAACCTTATGAATATACAAATAAAATCTCATCAAAATTGTTCAAGACGTTTCGGAGAAGTATAAACTCGAAACCTGTGAAACGTCATCTGAAAAACGTCTGTGAAATTTAAATGAAATTGACTGTTTTCCTTTCGCGATAAAAGTTTCTGCTTCATCTAAGTTTATTCGTTTTAATATAAGCATGATAGAAGTACGAAGACTAGACCTGGTTAGGAACAGTGATAGTATCAACATTGATGGTTAGGAACAGTATGAAATTGACTGATACTATACTGAAAAAAATTTACCAGCAGAATTGGCGATGGGTTGGTCACATGATCGCATAACACTGGAGCAAAATGGAGTAGAAGAATAACAGAATGGTATCCTAAAGACGGAAAGAGAAAGAGGGATAGGCAGTTAATGAAATGGAGAAGAATGGCGCATGATAGAAACTAATGACTTCCATTGGTTTCTATAATGCGCCATCTCTTTAGGAAGCCAATGCATATTGAAATTAGATATCTATTGTCAATTTATATGTTTTATTTAAAAAGAATTATAAAATTTCAGCATGAAGGTCTTTATTATTATCATTTATATTATATAAACATTGGTTCTGGTACCTGGTGATTTGTTATAAATTATATCTTTCTCTGACACAAGCTTCTCTTAGCAATTGTTTGGTATAATAATTAAGGTATTCTTAGCAATGGGTACATGTGATTTGCCATTGCTAGCATGTCATGCCATCAGCTAACTATCCTTACTTCATGGTCATTCTATCATCCTTTATTGATGTCCCTTCTGTATTGTTAGCAAATGCACTATTCCATTATCATACATAGATATTTGTACATTTTAATACATTTAATTTTTTACAAAATTTGAATGTATTTTCTTTACAGTTTTTAGAATTGTCATCGTTTTTATTATCACTTTTGACTTATTACTGTTCGTACCTGAATTATAAGTATTTACTATTTTCTATCCATTGGTTGATTAAATTCAAATTCAAATTCAAAAATCATTTATTCTTATAGGAAAATTTTAGCCGTGTATGAACGTAAAATTTTTATATTATAATTTTTTCCCTACCATCCAGTCCAGTATACAGATTCAATTGAGAAGAACTGGCAAGAGACTCAATTGAATTTCTTATTATTATTTTTTTAAAGCCACTTTATTTACAATATATATTTACATAGGCGTCTATGTCTAACATTAAATAAATTCCCGTGCATGAACAACTATTGCCATATCACACATACAGTCTATTCTTTCTATCAGCTAAATTAAAACAGAAAGTCGACTTACATTTATATAAACAAAATTCGGACAAAGGGCAAAACGTATCTGGTAACAAATCGATTCCTGAGTAGACTCTAGCAATTTCTATCAAGCGATACCGTCGGGATAACTCACGTAAATCGGGGCCCTATGAAGGAATTATTGGATTCATATTAGATTACGCAACTTGGATAACTTCGACATTGTATAATACCATTCTGTATTGATAACATTCATGTTGACGTATAAATAATTATATTTATGTCGGAGAGATACTTTGGACAAAGTTGATTGCGTGGGTGCCTCTGTCCTGTCTACAACTGACATCAGTAATTAGCAAAGCAAGCCATCTTTTTAATGAACTTCCACAGTAGACAATACATTTACTTACGTTATAGAACAATAATTTAAAGAAAAAAAATCAAAGTAAATACACAACAATATTTATTTATTTATTTACATCGTACTAAGTGAGCTTAACAGTCTCCCAATATGCCCACTTAGGAAGATAATATACAAATACACACAATTATAAACACTAATTACACAAGAAAAACAGAAGAGAAAAAAAGCAATAATAACAATAATACCTAATCTCCATTTAACATACTACCTAAATAATCTACTGTCATCCTACGAAACTCCAGCAAATTACAAGTAAATATGTCTAGATCTGGAAAGCGACTAACTACACCGTTGAGTAGACTCAATGCCAGAGAAATAGGAGCCTGTTTGGCCAGCTCTAGTATTGGTCAGTTAGCAATATATAATATAGGTAAAGACAAAGAGTATGTAATGTGGTGTATGTGCATTAGCCTTACAGAAAAAGGCAGCACCTCAATGTATCGTTCAAGCAGTAAACCACTGACTATCAGGTATTGTCCTGGGAGATACGCGAGGACGCCTGTAATAAGATCTCCGCATCCAACCAGCCCTACTACCCTATCGCTAAAAGCAACAGAAATATAATTCAGTGATTAATAAAAACAAATGGTATGGTCATAATATAAAATGAATTAGAAATGATTGAATTAATATTAATAAAATAAAAAGAAATATAAAAGAAAAGAAAATAAACTTATGCAATAAGTGGATCTGATAATAGTAGTACGGAGTCATGCAATGCTTAATAGATTTATATTATTTTGTTTAATTCCGATGCCATTAGCCACACATATTCAGCACTAAAACCTGACCACTGCTACTGAAAACGTTACGAACTCAGTAGAGTTCGTAACGTGTTATGTTACGAACTCAGTGGAGTTCGTAACGTTACGAATTAGTTAGAGTTCGTAAAGTGATTAAATTCTGACTGTTTCTGAATCTACACCCATATTGCGACTGTGTTTTACCTCGAATCATCGTCAATGAATAGATCTCGGATATAGCTTGAAAGTCTAATGTTGACTGCTTGGCGACTAAACTACGCCGAACAGTCAATACTAGGACTATAAAATAGAAATTGGATAAAATATATAAATCCATTAAGTAATGAAATGGACTTCAACAAAATAACACTTAATTCGTTGAAATATATACTTAATATCTTAGTCCTCAAGAATTAAAATGCATTAGAATGTAAAGCGCTTTACTACTATCGACTGTGAAGTAGTTTATACGTATATCATATAGTAACTTTCACTTTTCACTTTAAAGAACCTCGGCGGTTTCTTATAAAAGAAAAAAAAGATAATATATGAACATTAAAATAAAATAAATCACAAAATTTTCCCGATGCCGACAATTTTATAAAATAAAATAATTTATTTTTATTCTCTAATACACGATTCTTTAAATTATAGTTTAGCCATTCTTGAGAAACTTCTAGTGTCATCATCATCATCATTTCAGCCCAGAAGATGTTCACTACTGAACAAAGATCTCCCCAAAAATCTCCAACGATCGGTCCTGCGCTGCTCGTATCCAACGCCAGCAATCTTGACCAGATCGTCGCCTTCGTCCACCTTGCTTGCTAATGTATTTATAGTTTCATATAATAGCACATTTTATATGCAATTCTATTATAAAACTGTTAACATGAGAGTGGACTATTGTATTTGCGAAAGAGATTCTCAAAATTTGTTCAAATTTTGCAACGCAGATATCAAGTGACATCGGCGGATTCTGAGATCACGTAATTCCCGTAATTTCATCGTATAAACTGAGATCATAATTATAATTAAAACATACCTGATCAACATTTATCTGCGTTTATTTAAAATCTATTTTTTAAGCAATTTATAAATATAATTTTCAGCATAGAGCCATGAGTATTTCAAGCGAAATCCTACAAGAGAAAGCACAAAAAACAAAATCCTATCCATTTGTATTATGTGTAGTTTTGCCGCTTCTAAATGAAGTTTTTGTAGTGCTTTTGTAAGCTTTTCTTATTTTTATTATTAAGTATTTTAATATCTGCCGAAATATTACAAAAATATTAATTATAGACTAATGACATAGTTTGGCTGTAAGATTTGTAAAACTACATAATTAAAAAAGGTTAAAAAAAACTGAGAAAGCGACTTTAATACCTAAAGGCTTAAAGTCGCAATTTATTCCTTGGATTTTCCTTTTTTATTTATATTGATAATGTTAATAATAATATATAATTAACTCGTAATATGCTATGGAATATTTTCAATGTGTTTTACTATGTTCGGGACGATACCTTACCTAACTTCATAAAAAGAAATAATATCATATATATTATAAATATCAAAGGTCATAGCAGGAATATATGTATCTATATATTATTCGATACATTCAGCAGATATTTTTAATAAGCCATTCAATTTTAATACCTAAAATTTTATTTATTTTTTAAATCGTCACATACTTTTACGTAAATAATAAAATAAAAATATTTTTTATTCTTTGTCATGTATATATCAAATTAATTTTAATTTATTTGGCATTAAATCAAATCGAGTTACTATAGCAGTATTGTGAAGAATTACAATAATAGAAATAAAGTCATAGATTATAGAGTAATTTTCACAACGTGTCAAGTAATAACAAGGCAATTAATCACAATTGTATACAATTTCAGACCACAACAATTTCACCGGTAAATGTTCATTATTCGTTCATTGAAAACACATATCGCATACTTTACGACAGTAATAACATACCTTTACTGTTCGTATTAAAAGTTTAATAACAGTTATTTATGAGTCACGCAATCCCAATTAGAATGACCGATTAATTTAATAGATCCTAATACGAGACACTTAAATATATTACTTCATTCTATATTTAAAAAATAACAAAAAATATTTTAATGGTCATATAAAAAATTAATATATTTGTCAATAAGAACTTACTTGTAGTAATTCCAAATTCAAATTTTTGTCACATCACTATTTTTTATATCATGCACACATACACAAGTCACACAGTCACAGCACCGTACGTACGCGTTCAAAAATCGATGTTATTTTTTTTTCTGCCCGTACCGGCGTAGGGCGGAGGGCGGGCGCGTGCGGAGCCGACGCGACGTATTTCCGACTGCGGACGAATGGGGCAATGGCGCTGCAATCGCTCTCAGATACGCCCGGGGTTGAAACGGCGCACTTTTTTCAATATGTTTTTTTCTTTCTTATTATAATAGAGTAATAAGGTTTAACGCGTTCTGTTGTATATGCTTATAATAAAAAAGGGATTGCGCTTAAAGACAAAACGTAGAAAACAACTTCATTTGATTTCGAGGCGTAGTATACACTTTGTAAAATGTAGATTGTAATATGTTTTATTAATATTATGAAATTAACTAAGCAAGTGTTTGATAAATAAATGATTTATTTTATGAATAAGGAAAGGAAACAGTAATAATATTTTAGTGTATTTATTACCTTTACGGATTTCATAAATTTAATTTGGCCCAAATAACTAACTGAATTAACTGACTGAAATTAAGTCAGCTCATATGACAGTGAATAAATTATTGGAATATTATTTTAGAACTTTCCCTCTGTTTCACCAATTGTACACACGCCGTAGCTTTACAAGTACACTTCAAATACTTCAATCAAAGTCAGGAGAAATAAAATACTTTGCTTTTCGACAAAAGTGTAATGGGATCGTAATTACCACAATAATAAAAAACAATATGTACAGATACAAAGTAAACAGATCAAAAGCCTCTAACCAATAATAAATCTTACAACTCGTCAGTAACTACAAAACGAAATAATATCGCGTTGTAGAAATTGAACAGCGCCATCTAGCGACAACTATGTAAACAAAATTTACAACAGACGATTAAACACCAATAACAAATATAAATAATACTTAAATCTTACCGCCATCTAGTTTAAAAATTAACAGACACGTAGCTGGTACTATAAATACTAGCAACTGTATTGTACTTAAATCTATTTTCTAAATTTAGTCTTTATAAATATATACATAACTAAGCCTGTGATACGTGATTTCTTCAATTCTTCCTACACGTTGTTAAATACATAGAAAACAATTCATTTTTTATAAAATTGTATTATAACCACCAAGAGAACTATTTTTTTTTTATTTTCACTCACTAATAAAACCCTTCTTGACAAATAAATACCAATATTTATAGTTTTGTTTTATACGAATATCGAACCGACAACAAAATGAAAGTAAAGCAGCGTGCTAAACAGCCACACCACTGATGTCAATAAGTGTTATAGTTACAAAAACAATACAATCGCCGTTGGAGTTGCTAACAGTAATTAGTGCAGGATAAAGTTATAATAGCTCCTATTAGGGCAGCCATTAAAAGTGTCTGGAATTTTGAGGGATAAAGCGAAGGAAGTCGTTTACGGGGAAATTTCTATTAATTTCAAGTATAAGATCTTATATTACTTTGCAGATCAGTTGTGCAGGTGCTACAAACGGCGGCGTTTCACGGAATGGATTATTGAGCATTGAAATAAATCGTAATTTGTCGATTTTTTCCGTTTTTAAGGTGAACATTGTACAAAGTCGTCTGCGGGCACCTGTTTTTTTAAATTTTTAATATAATTTTAAATTTATTATGATCGCATGCCCGATAGGGTTTCTTATATTACAATTTTTTTCCCTATATCATATATATAGATCCAAATGAGAAGAAATGGTACAATTGTATTACATTCTCAAATATATATTTATTGCTTGTTCAATATCGTATCGTTACAATTAGTATATAATTCTATTATTTTTTACCTTGTATGAAGTTTAATCAAATTATATGAAGGACTACTGAACCCCGACTTCGTCCGCGTGAGATTTTACTTTATTTTTATAAAATAAAAGATTTTTTCTGAAAATAAAAAATGTGTCAGTTACTCCTTATTTTTTTTTAAAGGATGATAATGGAATTTTGCATCCAAACTAATATTATAAATATAGTACGGATGAACATGAAGTCAGATCAGTTACAACATGACAAATTCACTGGGAATGTATCACTTAATGATTTTAACGTATAGACATAGATTGTTCATGGGACCGATATATTTATCTCTTTATATCAACATTAACTGCCTGCCAAAAAAAATCTTATATTATATAATATCTCATTTGCTCCAAATCGTTACAGCCGAAAAATATAAACTAAAAATCATTTATTTTGATCATCTCCGATCTTGGTGTTGCAGCGACGGGATTTTCATTTAATTGAGCAAAGCATAGACACCTATTTAAATTTACAGAATTATTTAAAAAGATAAATAATTGTCTATGTAAAGTGGTCATCTTCTTTTCTTGAGTCTTGATTCTTTTCTTTCGCCAAACAACAAGTGGCTTTAGGGCAGAAACAAACAAACGTAAAAAAAGACTTTCATCAGCTTTTTTTTTAAAATGTCATACATGAATAAATATTTTTTAATTTCAATCAATAGTTACGTAACATAATATATTTTAATCTGCATATGTAAATAAAATTAGAGTGTCTGTTTGTAATTTTATTGAAATAAACGGTTTTACTACGTGCATATGAATATAAATACGGTACATACACCAAAATATTTTTTTACAATTTTTGTTTGTTTGTTCCGGCTAATCTCTAAAATGGCTAGACCGATTTTGACGGGACTTCTATTGGTAGTTAGCTGATGTAATAAGAAGTAACTTAGGCTACTTTTATTTTAGAAAAATGAAGGTAAATTCCATGCGGACCATACCGCAGGTACAGCTAGTGTTATATAAGCTTAGTACTTAAGATGCGAGGTCAATAGAACTCTCTCAGGGGTAAGTTGGGGCATTAAGAACAAATTTGCGGTAAGGTGTATGAAAAGGTTTTGTTATCAATTTGGACTAAGTTAGGCCACATTTCCTCAAGGGCACAATAATATCTACACTGACCTGCTTTACTGCCCTGAGGTATCGACTTATAAAGGTATGAATTATCAATTCTGAGCAGAATATCTTTAAAACATCCCATATTATTAATAGAGATGACAAGTTTAAAGTTCGATACAGGAGGCAAAGAGAAAGTGGTAATTGATATCTATCTATTACGACTTTTTCTTTTTGATGTTGTCTATCTATCTAGATAGATGATGTCTTTATTCACATCTGAAACATTACAATCAATTTTATATATAGTAATTAGCACATCGTGACAAATTTCCACATCGTAGACAATGCGAATTGCCCCTGTGACGGATTCAGTGACCAAACATTTGAGCATCAGTTTAGCGAATGTCCCATTTTCAGCAAAGCTCGACACGATCACGAACAAACGTTCCGAATATTTGGTACCAGCGGTCCCTATGATCTCAACGATCTCATAAAAAAGTCAGAAGCTCTGAATTCGTATAATTTATTCGCTAAACATATTGTAAATAACCTCAAAAAGATCAACAAAACATAATAATTTGCAAAATCACAACATTATTAGATTTGAATTAAAAATAAATATATATTTATTCATTTACGTATGGACATAACTATATTATAATATAATATATATGTATTTATTTCGATAATTTTGCAGAGGAACCAGAGGAACAGATTATGCAATTAAAACTTTGGCCGTATCAAATCGCGGCTGAAGTACTACATAATATATTTATAATCCAAAAAAAAGGAAAAAATGTGATAATAAAAACATTAGAGAAACAAATAAATTTAATAAAAAAAAATAAAAAAATAGTGAGAATAAGGCATATTATTAGACATTACAGAATAGTCAGTAAGTCTGCCTTTTGTAGATATAGTTTAAACAGTGAGGATAAGGCAATAAAATTACAGGGTAGTCAGCAAATCTATGTTTTGTATATACAGTTTAAAAAGTGAGGATATGGCAATCACATTACTGGGTAGTCAACAAATCTGCCTTTTGTATATAAGGTTTAAACAGTAAGGATAAGGCAATAAAATTGCAGGGTCTGCTTTTTGTATAAATAACATTTTTTATAAATAAAGTTTTTGTTAAAGTCTGCTTTTTGTATATATGGTTTAAACAGTGAGGATGAGGCAATAAAATTACAGAATAGCAAGTCTGCCTTTTGTATACATAGCTAGTACCTTATTTTACATTCCATTACTACATTACTTAAAAAATTAACACATATTAAATTTTATTGCCTTCTTCACAAAGTTGAAATTACCACATCAAATTTCCCGAAAAGCGTTTACAATGTTGTCTACTGTACATTGGCCATATCGATTGGAATTAAGAGAACAAGCCCCAAAGATCTGACCCACTTCATTGCTGAAAGCATGATGCTGGCCATCCACGGACCTAACTATTCACTGGATATGTCACATTTTTTCCAAGCAATTTATAATAACAACTAGCAACGTTGTTTTGCCATATAAATTAATAACGCTATAAAAAAATAGGGGTTGATGATAGAAGAGTGAAATTTTAGGATAGGTATGTATTTTTGTATGTTGTATCATAAAAAAAATAGAAACTAAAAATTTTGTTTAAAAAATTAAAAAAAAATTAGGGATGGACTACCCCTAACATTTAGGAGGATGGAAAATAGATATTAGCCGATTCTCAGACCTACTTACTCTCACAAAATTTCATGAGAATCGGTCAAGCCATTTCGGAGGAGTATGGGAACGAAAACTGTGACACGAGAATTTTATATATAAGATGTACATGAATACGTATAAACTTTCCTCTTGAATTGAATAATATAATTTAAAGATGTATATATATATATACTAGCTACCCGCCCCAACTTCGCATGTATATTTAAAATTCTGACCAGTTCAGCTACGAAGAAAAGGCAAAAAATTTGCCTCTATCTCTTTTCGGACGAACTTATACCTACATCGTTACAATATTGCAGATTAAGTATAATCTTAATAATATTATAATCATGAAAGTTTGTGAGTGTGGATATTTGTTACTCATTCATGCAAAAACTTCTGAACGGATTTTTATGAAACTTTATAGTAATATAATTTATGCATCAGAATAACATATAGGCTTTATTTTTTATTGAAATTTACCACGGGTGAAACCACGGGCACAGCGAACATAGTATATTAGAACTTAGAGTCATAGTGATT